GCCAGAGCTGCTCTTGCCTGCCTTACTGTGACCTGTGAGAATGAACATGTGCCCGGGGCCCTAAGCAGCTGGCTTTCAGGCTCCTGCCTGTAGCCGAATCATTTCTACAGTCTCCTGCCTTCTGCAACCATGTCCTGCAGGTCATCCCACAGGGAAGGCCCATGGGGAGAGGTCTGTCCCACTCCTACTTTCCCAACATGCCTGAAACCACAGACACTGGTGCCCTGAGACATCTTCTCGAAAACACCAGGACATCCTCTGACAGCCACCCATCTACCCCAAAGCAGCATGTGGGTCCGAGCAGAGGGTGCAGAGCCATTCACCTGGCTGCTGCTCTGCCCTTATGCGGACAAGACCTGCATGGCTGCAGGGTGGGGGTGGGAAAGGAGCAGAAGAACTGGGTCTATTCGGGCTGGAGGCTGGGGGTGGATTCACTGACCTCTGTGAGGTCACCAAAGAGATAGGCAGCAAGCTGGCCCTGGCCTAAAGGACACCATTCTCTCTGAAGAGCGAATGGCTTGGGGACCAGGCTCCCCTAGGCATGCAAAGAAGCCTGCCCCATCAGGGTGGTCTCCCATGAGGTGGTCTGAAAAAGGAAGAGTAACTAGAAATGAGAAAAGAAGTCATGCATGGGAGTAGACCGGGTGGCCCGGGTAAGCACCTCCACAGCGACTCCTCATTCTGTGGCCACAAGCCCAGTCAGGGGTAGCAGGGAGGAGCAGAAGGGCAGGAAGTCGGTGGGGCAGGCAGGAACGGGGCATGAAGGGGGCAGAGGATCAGCTCTGCCTGGGAGGTGAAATTCAGACCGATTTCCAGGCCAGGGATGGGAAGTGGTTTGAGGTTGTACAAAATTGGTGAAAAAGGAGAGCCACCCTGCTGCACCAGCATTTTCCAGCCTCCCCTGAAACAACCCCACAGCCTGATGCCTGAGGTCCCTGAGAAACAAGACTCACTGGTGACTCGTCAGCTGGACAGAGGCACCAGCTCAGCCACCAACAAGATGGCATGATGGAAGTGGGGAAATCCAGTCTGGTCGGGAGGGGGAGGGCAGGCCAGGCCTTTCTATCACTAACTCTCTCTGGACCCAGTCAAGAGAGCACAGCAGGCAGTATAAGGCAATAGAGTGGGTGTGCCCCAAACCAGCTCTAGAAGAAAATAAAGAATACCAAGAAAGATTTCCCAGATCCTCATTGCTCCAACCCTAACTGGCACTGATAGGTAGAAACACTGTCACTAAGAGGGTCTCTAGACCCGGCCCTGTCATGATGTCTAAGCCTTCACAAAGTAAATCCACCTACTTAAAAAACAAAACAACAACAACAAAAATCACCTGGGCTCCTCAGGAGTAGCCCAATAACTTTAGAAGCCTATTAGGGCCACCTCAGGCATCCCCCTGCCATCCGGCCTCACAGCCTGGACATAATAATGAATGACTGTCCTCTATCCGAGCTTGCCTGGGAGCCAAGCCCCACCTCCCCGCTCCAGGCTGATAACCTTCTAGCTCTCAGCAGCACTTCTTCCCGGTGTCATCGCCTACGGCCTGTGAGGGTGGGAGCTGGGGATTGTTCTGTCCCAATTCTCAACCTCCTCACACCGGCTCCCTTTTGCATTAACTTCGAACACTCAGGGAACATGCCATGTTTCTCTTTGAGAGACCCAGGCCTGCATGCTGAATTCCTTCCCCAGCTACAGATATTAGCCAAAGACAGGTGAACAAGAAGACCACGATCCCATAGGGAAAAAAGGAGAGAACTTCAGAAAGCAGCAGCCCAGGCACAAGGTCAGTCAATCACTTGGGGGAAAAAAAATGTGTGTCCTCTCTAGAGGGCCTTTGAGGGGGAACTGCTACAATCAGTGTGGAATGACCCCATCTGACTGGCATGCCTGAAGTCACCCTGCCCCTCCTCCTGCCTCCAGACTGGTCAGAAAGCCAATCACACACACAAAGCTCTCCAGCAAAAGAGAATGCCACCCACCCACCCTCCCCTGGGTCTACTGAGTATCTCTGACTTCTCCCAGGTGGTAATTCTTCATTCCAACCCAACTCTCTTGTCACAAATAGAGTCCATTTTCTCCATGAGGCTGGGGAACAGATGCTCACTCCCCCCCAACACACGCACAACAGACCAATGTTTTAAGGTGGTATCTAGGCAGACCCAGCCCCTTCTCAGAACTTCTTCCCTCTGAGATTCCACATCTCACTCCATTATGACAATTCTTAGTTCCCAACCTAAGGCCCTAACTTATTCTAGAGCCATAGTTAGATAACAGAGAACAAGACATCTCTTTTCCTCCCATCATCATTATTAATAACAATCACAACAGATCCCATTTATTGAACAGGCACTATATGGAGTGCCTCACACTTATCTAATTTAATTCTCTCCACTTAGCTGGGGAAACAGGCCCACAGAAGCTACATGAATTGTCCAAGATCACACAACTGGAATTGGCTGAGCTGGGATCCCAACTTCAGTCCCATTCTTTGAAAGGATCCCATTGCCTCCAGAAGAGAGAAGAATATCTGCCATGCCACCTCCCCCCACCTTGCCCTTTCCACAGGGCCTGGCACATAAGTGATGCCCAGAAAATATTTGTTCTGTAAATGACTCAAAACATGGATGGATAGATGGAAAGATGAGTGAGTGGGTGAGCAGGTTAAAGTGAGTCCTGCTTATCACAACACTAGCCCTAAGGTGCACAGGAAGTGACCACTTTGCTAGCTGAGGCTAGCAGGACCTTCTCAGCTGCTCCCCCTCATGCTGCCATCAGTGGGAAGGTCAGCAATTTAGAAACAGGGGAAGCCAAGCAGCTCAGGTCTCCTCACCATTCATTCAGGTCTGCCTTCCCCAGCTCTGGGAAAGCCCCTTTCCCTGAGTATTCCCTCAGGGGTGGCACCTGCCCTGGGCAGGGAAGACAGCCGGCGAGTCAGCCAGCCATTCCTGACCAGCGGTGATTCTCTGATCACATTAAGACAAATGTGCATGGATCCCACACTGGGAACTGTGCACAGCCACTGTCTCTGGGAAGAACCTTTTCCTTAAGAGCTCTGCCCACAGGGATCACTGAAAGAGGAGGTGCTGGTGTTGCCCCTTCCCCTCACCCCCCTAGCACATGAGCCTTCATCAGTTTCCCCCAGTGAGGGCTCTAGGTCCCAAGGGGGTGACTGGAGGGAGCTAGGGCTGTGCCCAGAATGGGAGCCAGCCCTGCAGAGGCTGCCAACCCCACCTCCCAGAGCCTCCAGCAGGAGAGGCAGTTCTGAGAAGGCAGTGAGCAGAAGGACCAGCAGACTCAGAGGCTCATTACAGGGAATGACTAAGTGAGCTGCGATTCCAGGGGAAACCCCACTCGCTCACTGAGGGGCTCATCCTTGAGCTGTTTAGACTAAGGCGGCTTCCAGGTGCTACCCTCAGCTGGGCAACCCCCTCCGAGCAGCCAGGGTCCTGAAGGACCCTCTGCCTGAAAGTCTTGATTCTGGCTATTCAGATTGTCTGACAGGTCTGCCCCACCCGTTTCCCAGGAGGGCCAGCAAGCCTGCCCACCCCTGATTAAAGCTAGATTCTGGGAATGGGGGAAATCCGATCAGCACCTCCTAGGTTTTTGTGGCTGGATTTCAACAAGGAATGTGACAGTCTCGCAGCAGCTGTGCCCTGCCTGAAACAGGCTCTATTTGAAACCTCCAACAGCTGAACCCCTCCCAGCTACCCGCTGGCCAACCCAGCCACCCCCTTCCCCAAATGACAATAAATAGAGAAATTCAAGCAACAAGCAGGCGCATACACATGCACACGCACGTGCACACACATACCCCCCCCTCACACACACACCCCAACAGATTGGGGGTGAGGGGTATAGTGGGAAAAAAGCCAAACTTATCCAACGATTCCCCAGGTCTCCAAGCCGTCCAGCCCACAGCAGGAGGGCTCCCCACACCCCAGCCCCTCACACGCAAAGTACCTACAGAAACCCACCTTCCTCAATCTCCATTCCCACTAGGAGGGAAGCCCCCTCCTCTGTGTTGGGGCTGGATGAGAGGCTGGAGCAGTGGAACCAGCTCCCCCTGAAGCTGGTGCCTGCCGTTCTCCATCCAGGCGCGCACTCACACATACACTCATCTTTATTTATCCCGAGGAGGAGTGGGGTGGGAGGGGAGAGCCAGGGCTGTGCTGGGGGCGCGGGCTCGCGGGGACCGCCTGGGAAGTCCTGTCATCGCATCCCAAGGAGAGGGCTCCCCCCGGCTGATACCAAGGCAGCGCCCATCTGCTCTGCCCAGGTAACACCTGTAGCCATTTTTATCAGGGGATGTTTACGAGGCAGCGGCAGGTTGATTCTGAGTCCTCTTTCCTAAGGGAAGGGAGCGCTGATTTCCTCCGCCTGCATTTTTACCTCCATGCCCTCAGGAGACTCAGGCCACTGGTGCTTTTCTGTTTTGCCCCGAATCTCTCCGGGAAGAGGAGGGAAATAGAAACTTGGAAAGAGAGGGAGAAGACAGGGACAGTAGGGACTTAGGCAACGGTATGGAATCCCCACCCCCCACCCAGACATTTATTTCTTTTTTATCCTCGCGAAAATGGAGCAGAGCAGGGAGGGGAGGAGAGGAGGGGAAGTCGCAGGAACTGGCAAACACATCAACGCAGAGTGTAATTAATTAGTGCGTTAAGCTGCTGGGTTATGCTTTAGCACGAGTGAGTTAGGAGGAAAAACGACTTCTCAGAAGGGATTCTTCAATCCTCCCTATCACAAAGTCTGCAAATTAGACATAGTGTATGGGGATGTCCCCCTCCAAAGGAAGCAAGGAATGAATTCTCCCAGGATCAAGAAGGAAAACCATGGGAAGTTAGTGTTCAATATAACTGAGCAAACGCCTCTCCCCACCACCATCACCTCTCCTCTCCCAATCTCTCTCTCCCAATCCCCAATCTCTCTCTCTCTCTCTCTCTACCTACCTACCTACATATATTCCTTTTGTTCAAGGTATAAAGAGAAACCACAGCCCCTACCTTTGAGTACAAACCCCAAGACAGCTCGGTCTCTATCACCATTACAACAATTCCAAACATCCCAAAAATCAGAGCATAGTCACTCAGTCGCTTTCTCTTTTCAAACAGGGCCCTCCTGTGTCCCAGCTTATAGCCAATGTTTTGGTTTTTCCGCTTGTTGGCTTTGGGGAAGGTGGTGCTGCTGGCAGTGGTGCCAGCATGCTGGTGGTTTTGGGTGGCGTTGGGGTGATGGAGCAGGGTCTGGTGGGCATGGTTGTCCTCCCGGGAGGAGATGATGATCTCCGGGGGGTTGCTGGGGCTGAAGAGCTGGAGGGGTTGGCCCTCCGGCTCGGCCTCGATGAGGTTCCTCCTGGAGGCGCTGAGGCGGCTGAGGGGCTTCATGACCCCACCGCTGTACTTGCAGGAGCTCATGGCGATCTCCGTGAAGGGGTTGCTGTCCCGCCGATGCACCAGGGGGCTGGCCTGCCGGTGCCGGCTGCCTCCGCCAGGCCCACTTGTGGCTGTGGAACTTGGAGAGTGGCCAAGCAAGTGGTCATTGAGATTGAGCTGGCTGCCTTGCCTGGAGGAAGGGTGGAGGATGGCGGTGGAGTTGGACGAAGGGGGGCCCCTGAAAGCGGTGGGAGAGGAGTGGAGCAGGCCGGGGTGGACGGGCTGACTCTGGAGTTGGGCTAGATGAGACAGGGGATGCGGTGGCTGCTGCTGCTGCTGCTGCTGGAGCTGCGGAGGCTGAGGCTGCAGTGGGGGTCCCGGGGGCTGCTGGGGGGCTGCTGGTGGCGCTGGCGGTGGTGGTGGTTGCTGTTGCTGCTGCTGCTGCTGCTGCTGTTGCTGCTCATCCCCGGAGGATGGACAGGGGCACTTGGGGTCTTCATCCAGGTCCCCCACCCCCGAGTCATGGAAGTGCCCAGAAGTGTCCATCTTGAGGCCTGGCTGGATTCCCTGCAGCACAACCCCCCACCCCAAAGCCACTCTTGCTCCAAAGATGTCCTCAAAGAAAGCCAGGCATCCAAGCTCCCCCACCAGTGTCTTGGCTCCAGTCCTCTCTCTTTGGCTTGCTCCGGTTCTCTGGGGCTGCCTGGAGTCCAGACGCTGCCACTCAAGAATGCATTGTATTGGGCAGGGAGGGAGAGCAGCAGGGGAGGCTTGGAGAAAGAAGGGGGAAAGAACTCTGTCTCAGGAGGTGGTCCTCCAGGAGCGTGCGAAGCCAGGCTCAGCTTCACTCCTCGCTGGCTCAATAGCTTTGCTCTCCTCCTCCTGCCACTGTTATATCGTAAGCCAAGCCCACTTATTAGCAGCTGGTCTCATTGGCTTGGCTTAACCCTCCAACCACCTCCTAACTCCGCCCCCCGCATAGGCTCCTCCTCTGAGGCGGGGCCTGCCGTCCTCGCTCCCGGCCCCAGTGGCAGCGCAGCGAAGGCTGGGAACTGTAGTTTTTGCTACCCCACCCCGGAGCCGAGCAGCTGCCCTCTTCCCTCTGACAGGTATGGCTGAAATCCGCAAGCCCACGGCGACAAGGGATGTACGCTCGCGCGGAGCGGTGGGGAGGAGGGACAGAGGGCCACCTACGGAGGGGAGCAGTGCACCATGATGAGGGGGCAGGGAGAGAGAAGACAAGCACGTATTAATGGCCAGGATCTACGGACGGTAGGTTGCTTCACACATATTATCCAGGTACATCCTGCAAACACCCAAGGAGGTGGGCATTATGTTCCCATTTTACAAAGGAGAAAACTGATGCTCAGAGATGTTGAGTAACAGCTTCAAGGTCACAGAAGCAGAGGGGATCCACTCCTCCTGATGCCAGGTGGAGAAATTAACCTACTACTGACTGAGCGCCTGCAATGTGTGCAGGCGCCTCTCTGTTATTTCCACCCCCACATCAACTCTATGAAAATGATGTCATCATTCTCCTTTTACAGATGAAAACAGAAAAAAGAAAAACTCAAGCACAGATAAGTTAAATAACCTGTCAAATGTCACCCCGCTTGTAATTAAAGGTCCTAGGATCTTGAACCTAGGTCAGTCTGACCCGCAGCTCCTATACCGTCTCCCGGGATGCTTTTCCACTATGATGCTCAGTACAAAGTGGTTGTTCAATAAACGTTGTTCAGGTGATGGGTGGGAAAGAGCCAGACAGAAACCGTCAAGGAAGCACTGGCCTCCCCAAAGCAGGGTGCATGAAGTGGACAATGGCTCCAGCCCCTTCCCTGACAGCTGGGCACAGAGTCACTGGAGGGTCTAGCAGAAAGACCAAAGATCCCCCTTGTTCACCTCCCACTTGATTTGCCCCATGGGGCTCTGAGAGTCAGAGCTGGGAACAGCTGCTGGCTTCCCAGGTTCAGAACCATCATCATCAAGTATTTATTAAGCTCCCACTGTGTGCAGAGGGAGTTCCAAAGGGATGGGACCAAAGCTGAATTAATTTCCATTTTTAACTGCAGCAGCCTCAGGGATCAGAGAGGAAGAGACTGTTATGGAATCCCCCAGGCACATCTGGGGTTTTAATAGAGAAGCATCGTCCTATCTGGCTTCTGTTTCCCCATCACCCTCTGGCCTCTGGCCAGCTCCTTCCCTAGATGGGAAGAGGGAAGGGAAGGGGAGACACACCACACTCACGCACACTGAGAAACATGCATGCAGATGCACACACGTGTGCACACATGTACACGAGTGTGTACACACACTGGCCCATGTACATGCACATACACAGTGAGACTCTAAGGCAGCTCTCCTGAATGGTGAGTGGCAAGTGGCCAGGTCAGGGGGCACAGAGCTCCACCAAATGAGCCCAGAGTACCCTCTGTATATCAGTTCTCACCTCTCCAATCCCCCATCAGCCCTGATGATTAAGATTTAAATATTACGGGCCGGCCCGTGGCTCACTCGGGAGAGTGCGGTGCTGATAACACCAAGGCTACGGGTTCGGATCCCATATAGGGATGGCCGGTTCGCTCGCTGGCTGAGCGTGGTGCTGACAGCACCAAGTCAAGGGTTAAGATCCCCTTACCGGTCATCTTTTAAAAAAAAAAAAAGATTTAAATATTACTTGTAATGCAAGCCACAACCCCAGATACCTGAATAATTACCATTACTCCTACACAATAATTTTGGTAATTGTTATTATTATCAGTGACATGGTCATTCCCTCCCCCCTCCACCCTACCCCCAAAACACACGCACTGCAGATCACAGTGCCAGGGCTCAGGTGCAAGCCTGGGGTCTCATGTGTTTTCCCATGACCATGCAGGCCCACCAGTACCCACCCCAACCCCTCCAGTATGCCCTGCCTTCCCCCGCTTCCCTTCTGTCTTCGTGATTTACCTCCTTCTTCTCCATCCGCATCAGAGCCACTGTTTGGTTCAAGCTCTAGATCACATATTCAGGTTTAATGATTTTCTAACAAATTTTATTAATATGTTGTTAGTAGAAGAAATGTGCTGTTAGTATTGGTTTTCAGTGCTGGATAGAGTTTCTGGTCTGTGAAAAATCAATTTTGGGGGTAGACTCCAGGCCTGGACATTTCTGTGCCCACTCCACCCCCATGAGCTGCCTTCTGCCTCAGTTGACCTTTCTGAGCCAGCCTCCTCCTCCCTCCTATTCTGCTGGCCGTGCCAGTGGGACCCAAATAGGGCCTGTTAGAGCATGTCCCACCATCATGGATGGGGATGAGAAACAGCCAAAGAGCAGAGGTCCATCTGGGAATGGGCTGGAACTTGACAGCAATGCCACTGAGGCAACCCACACCCTTCCTTACAGCTATCCTGTCATAAACAGGAGGAGGACAGTGTCATATTTAAAGCTTGGGCTCTAGAGTCAGACTGTCCAGGCTGGATCCCCTCTTTGTCTTGGGATGGCTATGTGACCACAGGCAAGCTGATCTTCTGATCCTCAGCTTTCTACTCTATAGGGTGGAAGTAACAGGGTTCCTACCTCGTAAGACTTGGTGGCAATCAGTTGTGAGTCACTATGAAAGGGGCTATCCCGTGGCAGCCTGGAGTCCCTCGCTGGTGTGCTGAAGCTGGACAGTACCAGCACATAAAAGCCACTGTGTGCATCTCTTCTCAACTCCACATTCAGTGACGTCACTTGGATAGCTTGAACTCAGTCATGGTGGGAGTATTTACACTTCAGAAATTGGCAAACACTGTGAATCAGGCCTTATTTTTTCCTGGAGAGCCAGTTGTTAAACCTTTCCTGGCTGTTAAATATTCACCAGCACACAAATGCCATGTCATTATACACAGACTGTGCAGTCCACCCTCCTCCTGACACCATCCAGGCTCTACTCACTTTCTTCCCTCTCACCAGGACAAGCTTTGCCACTTGCTCACTGTGTGACCTTGAGTCAACTGCTTAACCTCTCAGGCCTTCAGTTTCCTTAGCTCCAATGACGTAGCAGAGGACAAATACTTTGTAAGTGTAAAGTGCCTACAGGTTAGTGAATCAACTAGATGCAGCTCAACCAAAGGGCCTCATGATGTCAGATCTTCCTTTCTGCCCTACAGATGCACTGCACTCAGGCGTCTTCCCAACATTGCTGCAGGTCCAAATCCCCACTATTTGGAAGCCCCCAACACTTCCTCCGACTCCCAGCTACAACCATGTCTTCACAACAACCCATGAGTTGGGGCCATTACCCATTTTAAAGATAAGAAAATTGAGGCATTAGGCAGATTTTAAAACTTGCCCATAGTTACTAACTAGTAACTAGTAGCATAGCTGGAATCAACCCAGGTCTGTCTGACCCCAAAGCTCAAGCGCTTGCCATGTGTCCTGAAACCCAAATCTGTAGGATTCATTCTTAATGGTATTTATTAAATGTTACCATGTGACTCACATAGCCAACCCTCGGAAGCTTATGTCTCACTGTAGAGACAAGTTATACTCACATGGGGTGATAAACAATAAAGATCCCAAAGTGTGTTTGAGACAATAGAGTTCATTGAAAGCAGAGGGTAGTCCAGGGAGGCTTCATGGGGGTGGTGGGACTTGAGCCATGCCTTGAAGGATGGGCAACAACTCCTCGTACTGCCGTAAAATGAAAGGCTGACAAATTAGGCCTCTTCTGTCTGTACAGATGAAGGAGAAGGGGGTGTAGTGCAGTTTCTTACCCCAGAGAGTACAGGGAAAGTGAACAAGGACACATTTACCAAACCCAGGAAGATAGGGGTGGCCTTTGGCCATACCAGCTCCACATAAGTCATGCTGTCCCACAGCCCCTGCCCTCCTTTCCAGCCTCATTCCTCAGCACCTCCCTCTTTAAGCCCCAGCATCACCCACCTCTCATAGTTCCCCCATCAGCCAGGCCATTTCACACCCCCAAACTTTGCTGATTCTGTTCCCTCTGCCTGGCGTGCCCTTCCCTACATCTTCATCTAACACATTGCTCTTTGCCCTTCAAGACGTGGCTCACAGGTATTCTTTCTGGAAAGCCTCCCAGGAATTCCCTAAACCCAAATCAGGGGCCCTTATTCTGTGTTTTCAGTACCCTGTGCTAACAGTTTCTGTCTAGCAGTAGCTGTTGTCTCTTTGTGTGTCCCTTTCCCCCTAGACTGTGACCTCCTTGAGCGTAGGAATGATGTCTTCATCACTGTCTATGCAGCTCTTCCACAGAGCCTGGCATACAGTAGATGCTTAATAAAGATTAATTGAACTGACCAAACTTGAAACCTAGGAGAGCAGTCATTTTGAGGCAAATAAGAGGAAGTCACTTTTCACAACACATAATAAACATAATTTCCCCATCAGTAAAATGCATGAGATAGAAGAGATGGTCTGTATAACTTTTATTCCCCAAAGATAGAACTGACTGAAAATAGGTTTAAGAAAAGTTATGAGGCTGGCTGGTTAGCTCAGTTGGTTAGAGCACAGCCTTGTAACACCAAGGTTGAACATTTGGATCCCCATACCAGGCCAGCCACCAAAAAAAAAAAAAAAAAAAAAAACCTTAAAAAAAAAAAAAAACCTTAAAAAAAAAAAAAAACCTTAAAAAAAAAAAAAAACCTTAAAAAAAAAAAAAAACCTTAAAAAAAAAAAAAAACCTTAAAAAAAAAAAAAAAAAAAAAAGCTGTGAT